CTCGGCCCTCTCCAGGGAGAGGCACTCGTAGTGGCTGACCGTGGTCCTGCCGAGGGAGTTGGTCCTGCTGGCCAGCTGCTCCAGCTTGGCGCTGAAGAGCTTGCTGCTGCTGCTGCTGCTGCTGGAGTCCTTCGTCTTGCCGCTGGGCTCGTCCGCGAAGCTGGCCAGGAAGGCGGCCGGCTGGTTCGAGGGGCTGCTGGTGCCGCTGCTGCTGGCGCTGTGCTGTGGGCTGGCCCGGTTCTTCTGGTCCAGGCTGGACTTGCGGACAGGGGGCAGCGGCGGAGTCCCTTTGGGCCGAGCCAGGACGCCGTGCTTGGGGGACGCCACCTTCCTCTCCAGTGTGGCCTTTGAGGGCGGGGTGCCCACCCCGTTGGTCTCGGCAGCACAGTGGTAGAAGAGGCCGTCCGGGTCCTCCTGCCTGCTGGCCTTCTGAAACGCCCTGGGGAGGCTGCTGGACTTCACGGCCCTGTGGGGGTGCACGGGGCTCAGGGGGGCCAAGCCGGGCAGGGCCATCTCACACCCGTCCACAACCCTCCTGAAGCTGTCGGTCACCGGGGAGGCGGACACCTCCCCGCTGCTGCTGCTGAGCCTGTCACCTGGGCTGGGCTTTCTGTCCTGTTCCTGCTCCGGTCTGGCCTCGGCCTTTGTGGGGCCAGTGGCAGTCTCACGCCTAACCCCTTCTTCGTTGGGATAAGCATTCTCTTTTTTCACCTCCTCTTCCCGTTTCAGCCAGGGGTCCCCAAATTTCATCTCTTTCTTCGCACTGACTTCCTTACCCTCCTGGGTCTGGGCCGCTCTGGGGGCTGCTTTGGGGGCCGCAGTGGACGCCTCGGGCTCTTGGACATTCCGGGGGCTCATGGCGATGCAGGGGTAAACTGTGATGTTGGTCTTCATGGGGATGTACCCTTCGCAGCTGCTCAGGTTCGCGGTGTTGGAGATCGTGACCATGGCCTTGCCCAGCGTGGATATCTTGCAGCCTTTGATGGGGGTTGCTTTGCTGAAAGCATCTTCCCCCACCTCGGACAAGATGAGCAGGTTGTCGGGGCCCGTCTTGGGCTTCTCTCTGCACACCACGGAGGTGTTCTGGATGCCGCCGACAAACTCCGGGGCCGGAGGGTCCGCCATTGCTTCCCCGTGCCCAAAACATGTCTGGGCTATGAAGCTGTGGCACGACTGCTCGCCGTCACTGCCAGCGCTCATCTCGCTCAGCCAGGAGCTGATGGAGGAGCGCCTGCTCCCTGCCTCCCGGGCCTTCTCCTCCAGGCTCAGCTTCGGGAGGGGCAAGAACTGCGTGATGCTGACCTCGGAGACGGGGGCCATGCTGGAATAGCACTCCAGGTCCTCACTGATGCTGCTGATGATGCTGACGGGCCGGGAACCTGAAGCCAAGGCCTGCACGGAGCAGTCGCTGTTGAAGCTGATGATGCTGGTGGGGCGGCCGCTGTCCAGCACGCCGCTGATGGTCAGCTCCTCCACCAGCGTGAACACCAGCTCGTCCTCGCCGTTCAGCTCCAGGGGCTGCTGCACTGTCACCATGGTGGTGCTCAGGATCTCTTTCTTGGCATCTGGAGGAGTTGCTGCCTGAGGCTCGTCCTCCACGGGGGTTTCTGGGAACCCTTCGCTCCCAGCAGACATGGATTTCTTCATAACCTGGGGGCTCATTCCAACTGGGGGGGTGCGTACCTCAGGCTGCAGCAAGGACTCGCTGGATGCCACGCCAGAGTCCTTGCTCAAGGGGGCACAAGGGGTGGGAGCTGGCAGGACCCCCTTCTGGGTGTAGACTTTGCATCTCTGGGAAGGAGAGCTGGGTGGTTTGTACTCCGAGGTCTTGGACAGGCTGGCGATGCCCAGCCTGGGGGAGCCCATGGGCCTGGGCTTGCCGTCCACAAAGCCGCAGGAGTTCAGGCTCTCCCGGCTGCTCTGGAGGCTGGGGCTCTGCACCAGCTGGGAAGTGCGGTGCTGGCTGCTGCCGCCTGGGATGCTCCGGGGTGAGGCAGGGCTGGGGCTGTGGGCGGGTGCGGCGGCAGGCACGGGTGAGTGATTCCGCTGTACCTTCGGGGCCGGGGGGTCAGAGCCTTCTCTGTCAGTCAGCTGCCCATCAGACCCGTTGTCTTCCTTATCAGACTCTGAGCGTGAGTTTGCCCCAGCAGCCTGGCTTGACGGGGGGCCTCTCCTTGCCTGCTCTGCCCCAAACTGGACAGGCAGTTCTTCAAAGGGAAACTTACTGGGCTCCTCGCTGCCATCGATGCAGTCTAGTCGCTCTTGCAGCTCGGCGAATGTGTTACACTTCAAGCAGTCCCTTTCTGATTTGCTGGCTGCGGCCTCTCCTGCCTCTCCGGGCCGGCTGTCGCCCCTGGTCTTCTGCAGGGCTGGCACAATAGGGACAAAGTCTGGGGGACCCTCGTTGTCGGTGAGCTCCTTGTCTGAGAGGGCTGTGCCGTTCGGCCCAATGTAGATGACGGTGTCGCAGGACTGCTCGCTGCTGGAGGAGTAGTCAGGATCGCTGGACAGGTGGGCGATCGGGAAGTCAGGGTCCACTGTGGCCCTGGTGTGGAAGGGTCGCAGCTGGGTGGGCCGGCGCATTCTGCCTTCTTCACAGGAGCTTTCTCCCCCAGAGGAGCTGGAGGTGTACTGTGAGTGAGATAACAATTAATGAGGAGGCACTCCCAAGGCAGCCCCTCACTATCCTCGGGACCCCAACATCCCGCAGTGAGTGACGGAGGCTGCTGACGTGACACAGGCTCCTGCAGCCTCCCTGGTTAGTCTCCCTGCAAATGGGCTGTTACTTGGGGCATCATTCCAGGGTACCCCAGTGTTCCAAATCATGGCTGTGTTTGTGAAGAATCCCTGTGTGCACACTAGGGAAACAGAGGCGCTGCTCACAAAAAGAGGCGTCCTGTCCAGGCCCGCCTCACCTTCTAAGTGCTCAGGGGCCACCGATTTGGCAACCTGTGCCATGGAACACTGATCGGAAATCCCTGTTTATATATGTATCTATAAAGGGGAGTGGTGTAAAAGGAGAAGGAAAAAAAGCCTCACATCATGAACATCTGACTCTGGATCTTAGTGGATACAGTCATGATGGTTTTCTCAACTACTCTTGTTCCATTACCACTGCCCTGGCCCTGCCAGTGCCTGAGAAAGCAAGTCTAGTGATTTCTGGCGGATGCTTAGTATCATCCAGAAACCACTGAAATAACAGGACAAATCCAGAGGCCAATAAAGGGCTCCTAAAAAGACAGCAGAAAGGGAGGACCCTGTGAGCAAGGAGTTCCCAACCCCCTTTGGCATCAACCCCTTGAAGGACAGTTTTCATCCTCACAGGACCAAGGCAGGCAAGAGGAAACCTGTGAGTATTTCCCATCTCTGAAATATTTTTCATCTCAAAGTAGCAATCCATTTGTACTATCTAAAGTGGACCAAGTGCTCCCTGTAGGGGTACAGGCTGGGTGATCAGAGGCAGCACCAGCTTTGGGGAGGGGACAAGACTTTCTTCTGCATCAGTCTGAGGGTTTCCTGACCCCGACATGGACACTGAACCACACATCAGCAGCACAGGTGCACATGTCTGGGTACTGGGGGATTCACAGTACTGACTTCTGACTCAGGTCCAGGGCAGGGCTCTAAAAGCTCCTGTATCTCCCACACCCCTTGCAAGCTCCTTACCTTTGTCTTCTTCTTCTTCATCCTCAAGACTCTCGATGCGATCTGGATCGTGGACAGGGTCTCTGCGTAGTTCCCGGCCACGGCCGAAATGTGAGCGATCATGGTGGTGCGACAGTTCATGTTCCCCAGAGATTCCCGCAGCAGCATGGTGAGTTTGCTCTCTCTGCCAAAGTGAATTAAGGCTACATTAGTGGGCCATGCTTCACTGTGGCTGTCAGGGTGGGACTTCAGGCCTGTACATGGCCATTTTGTTGTGGGTGGTGGAATCCCCCCTCTTCTTTTAATGGCATACTAATTAGCATCATTTTCCAGCATGGGGCTATTTGTAGTTGGCAAGCACTGAGCAAGTGCTTCTAACTCCAAGGATAGAATTCATACAAAGCACCTCCCTTGGCACTTCTGGTTTGGCTGCGATGGGATGCTCCTGTGTGTCTGTGTGTGCATATGACATCGCACATAATGAGGCCTGGGAATAGAAAGCAGAGGAAGGGACCGAGAGAAAACAGCCTTGTGGCCGGTGATTCAGTGTGCTACCTGCATGCATGGCCCTTTTCTGGGAGTTTCTGCACACAGGCAATTCCTGCAATGAAATAGTCCCCCACCATGAACTTGTATTGATCTATGTGCTTATGGTCTATGCAAAGGCTCTTTTGCCAAGAAGCTGCAGCCACTTTACTGGCATGGTCCCTTACCTCTCATATTTGCACACAGGAGCAGTGAAGGAGAAGGCATTCATATTCCCAATGACAAGCAGAGGTACACAGATAGAAGGCCAAGGGCTCACTCAATCAGCAACAGAAAGCAGAGTTTTCTATAGGAAGGCATCCTCCAGGGACTCTGCAGGTTCTGTGTGGGGCCAGTGCCCTGCACCGTGGTAATGAGGCCTGGGGGTTTACAGATGGTGTTTCTAGGTCTTTAAGAATTGACCTGGAGGAATGGCTCATGTTTTTCCATTCCTATACTTGTCCCAACATTTTTCCTGCCTTGCTTTTAAAAGGCCTCTGCTTACTTCATCCACAGCACGCACCCTCTCATCTGCTGCCAAATGTCATTTCATCACCGGCACGTCCCCTGATCCTGAAGGTGGAGGTAGCCCCTTTGTTTCTCATGCCCTGTGTTTGTGTCTCTGTGTTGTGTCTGTAATGCCAGATGAGGGGAGTTTGTCCTCATGTCCATGTCCGATCAGCCATCCCCTGCAAATCTCCCTGGAGAGGGACCATCGAGCCCAGCAGTCCCTGTGGGAGATGCAGGCCACTGTCAGCAGAGATGAGACCATCTCACACGTGACCTGCATCTGGCTTCAGGGAGGAAAGACTGTGGTATGAGAGCAATAGTTTTTTCTTCCCATCTGGGACTAATTAAGGTGTCAGTTCAGGGGCACTGGGCTCTCTATGGCTCGGTTCCAGAGTAATTTAAACATATACCAGGGCTTCCCTTCAAGCAAAATACCCAGTGATGGAAGTGGTGAGGTAAGGGGTAAAAAAGAGGAACAGGTTGTAAACATTTAACTCCCTTCAAAATGTATTTAGCAGGAATGTCATGGACACTACTACTTGACAGGGGACATCAAGCCACATTCCGGCTGACATTCTTAGCAGAGACATATGTCTGTGTGTGTTTTGGGCTTTGTCTTCAATGTGGAAAGTGGAAGATGGACTCCATTTCGGTTAGGTTGTGGTCATATACAGTCGAGCCTTCTTATTCCTGATAGTTATGCTCTATAACATATCTGCGGACACTGATTTAGTGAATACTGGGCCATTGTTCAGGGGAAATATACACAAGAGGTTCCAGTGGACCTCTAGTCACAATAGTTTTTTTCCTTTTCTTTTTTTTTTTTTTTTTTTTTGAGTTGGAGTCTTACTCCGTCGCCCAGGCTGGAGTGCAGTGGCATGCTCACAGCCATGCCAGCATCGACTTGCTGGGCTCAGGCTATCCTTCCACCTTAGCCTTCCAAGTAGCCAGAACTACAGGTGTGTGCTACCATACCCGGCTAATTTTTTAAAATTTTTATTGTGGAGACAAGATCTCGCCAAGTTGCCCCGGCTGGTCTCAAACCCGCAGGCTCAGGCAATCCACTCACCTCGGCATCCCAAACTGCTGGGATTATAGGCTGAGCCACTGAGCCCGGCCACAATAGTTTTTTTCAGTTGGTCAGTACATAACCTTGCTAATAACACACCTTACTTAATATCTATTCCTTACAAATCATGAATTATATACAGTATTTCTTTAAAATAAACCACTAGCTAAGAAGTGTTAATATTTTCCTGCCCTTGGGTAATGTGATCATAAACTTTTTTGGCTTTCAACAATACTATCCATTCTACTTTAAAAAAAAAGATGTTTGGCTGAGAGCAGTGGCTCAAGCCTGTAATCCCGGCACTTTGGGAGGCTGAGGCGAGGGTACTTCCTGAGCCCATGAGTTCGAGAACAGCCTGGGAAACTTGGCGAGATCCATCTCTATAATAAATCAAAAGATTAGCCAGGCGTGGTAGCATGCACCTGCAGTTCCAACTACTTGGAAGGCTGAGGTGGAAGGATCACCTGAGCCTAGCAAGTTGACACTGGGGTGGCCATGAGAGTGCCACTGCCCTCCAGCCTAGGTGATGGAATGAGACTCTGACTAAAAAAAAAAAAAATGTTCATTATCATGTGAACCCACAAGTTCACACATGCCAAGACTTCTTTCAACAATATGGACTTTAAAAAAAAGCAGCAACACACATTTGTTCATATGATTGAGTCATGAATGGGGACACACGTGGCAACACACAGGGCAAACAGTTTGATATCACAGTGTTATATCCTTGTGTTCATCTTGTCCATAGCTGCATCATATACTGTAGATGTTACCTTAGCACTTTTAAAAATGCCTTGCTTTTCAAAAACCAAATCAACCCTCTTTTGAAGTGGCCTTACAGATCGGTGAAAATCACCATTAGAAAACGCAAAAATGTGAAAAATGTGGCATTACAGAGACCATAAAAAGGACACCTGTGTACAGTCTGACAGCTAAAACACGAAGGCCCGAGCATCACTTTGCTCCACCTCTGTGAGGAACACGTGTATCCGTCGACTCAAAAATGTCTCCACTCCACGCGTGTCCAAGAGTGACTGTGAAACCTCCATATTGATTTGTGGGTTACAAAGAAATTTTAGTGAGTAGGCGAATTTGTAAACACGGAATCTGCAAATGATGAGGATTGACTGTACTGTGAAGTTCCTCATGCTAAGCCTTGTTAATCCACTGCATTCGGCTTAAGGCATACCCTGTGTCTCCTCGTGACCTTATGTGAGTCCTCAGGAAGACATACCAGATGGAACACAAGGATATTACACTGTGATATCAAACTGTTTGCCCTGTATGTTTCCATGTGTGTCCCCACTTATGACTCAATCGTATGAACAAATGTGTGTTGTTGCTTTTTTTTAAAGTCCATATTGTTGAAAGAAGCCTTGGCATGTGTGTTGCTTAGCAACCAGCATTTGCACTCTGCTAGTGGAAAGTAAGGCAGTAAAGCTGCTAGCGAGCCTCCTTCCTGTGGACCTCTCTGGACTCTAAAACATGTCCTTAGGGGAGCAAAAAATGGTACACAGAAAACTTTGGCTTTTTCAACCTCATGATGATCATTTAACTTGGAACACAGACAATTAAGTTAGGGAGGGCAGGGGAAGGAAGACTGAAAACTGTAGGCTGAACTTAGTGTCTCTTGGAGGGAAATAAAAAAATTTCCAAGGCAATGGTCAGCACAAACTCAGCCCAGCCTTTGTATCAAGACTGTCATGGGAGGAAGGGAAGTGCAGGGCTGCTGGCTACCCTCAGCCCAATGCCAGGATGGAAGGAGGGAGGTAGAGGCTAGGAGGTCATGTTGGTGGGAGGGGGCCCTGGCTGTGGAGGACAGGTTGGGCAGGTGCAGGAAGGGACTGGGGACAGAGCAGAGCTGACTAGGGCCTGAGAAAGGATCATGCCGCTCTTTTAAGTAGCCAGGTTTATGCACGCATAGTCCACCTCTCGCCTACCCTGACCACATACATCTTTGAAGATGATTTTTGGAAAAATGCCTTGCTTTTAAAAAACCAAATCAACCTCTGATTCGACATAACAAAAGGATAGAAAAAGAACAGGAAAATGAACACTTTTTTTTTTAAGTCAGAGTTTCACTCTGTTACCCAGGCTGGAGTGCAGTGGCACATTCATGGCCACTGCAGCCTCAACCTGCTGGGCTCAGGCAAGCTTTCCACCTCACCCTTCCGAGTAAACACTTTTTTTTTGAAAGCAAGATTTATTGAGAGGACAGAAAAGCTACCACAGTGGGAGGGGACCTGAAGGGGTTGCCCAACACTTTTTAATGAATAATAATTCTTAAACAGCACATAGCACTCCAGAACAGGGGCTGAAAAACTAGGGTCCTGCAGGCCAAATTGGCCCACTCCCTGTTTTTGTAAATAAAGTTTTATTAAAACACAGCCATACCTATTGTTTATATATTGTCCGTGGCTGCTTTTCTGCTGCAATAAGAGTTAAGTGGCTGTAAAAGAGCCTATGTGGCCTGCAAAGCGAAAAATATTTACCATCTGGTTCTTTACAGAAAAAATTTGTTGACCCCTGCTCTAGAGTAATGATGTAACATAGTATCATCTCAGATACAGACTCATCAACCAGAGAATGAAGATGCATCTTAATTTCCTTACTGTTCAGACTATTCAATAATCTGTTTCTAATTTGGATAGTTGTCTGTGGTATTGTTCTTTTAGTCCAGATGTTTCATGGAGGAACAGCTAAAGCCAACTCCATGGAAACAAGCAGAGGAAAAAAAATGCTTGGCTTTAGAAATCATGCAAGCACCAGGCCACAGCCACCTGTGACTGCCCAAATCACATCCTGTTTCACACAGAAGCAGAGTCTGTCCAAAGGGATGGTGAGGCTGTTTGTGTTCATACAATTAATTAACTCACTAGGGTATGCAGCTGCTTATTCAAGAAACATTTATTAAGCACCAACTCGGGGAAGAGGGACTAGACTGTACTCAAAAAGCCCATAATCTAGTGAGAGAGACGGACACGAACACACAGTATGGTATCCTGTGATAAAAATTAATGACAGAACAAATCCAAAGCAGCACATAAGGAAAGACCCCTAGGGACCAAGGGACATCTCCA